AATTTTCTCCATATTTGCATAATTAAAAATAACATTTAAATAAAAAAAAAATATATATATAAATATTTTATATAATATAAAAGAAAAATATTTTATTTTATTATATAAAATAAAATAAAATAAAATAAACACCCTGATTTGCTTCTTTTCTTTTTTCTTTTTTTGCTGGGCGCCATAAGGCAAAGGGCAAAGGTTAATCATCTTTTTTTATTACAGGAAGTGATCTCTCTTTTTTTTTTCTTTGATATATGGCCAAGTTCCTCTTGTGATAAGGTTAGCAACCCAGTCAAACTCAATGCAGATACACTATTTGTGATGATGTAGCTTGTCTCTGCCGCTGATCAGGCCGTAATCCACCAGATTAGGCAATGCACTGGGATTACTGGACACAGGGATGCCGCAAATGGTTTCTGAAAATTTTTTTTCCTCTTTGTATCTGTCCATCCTATGATCTTGCTCTCTTTCCCCTCCACCCTCTCTCTACGCTTTTGTAATGTAATTGATTGCATTAATGTGATTTGATTGGTTAGTCCCTGAGCTTTTTATAATAATAACTAATGATGGAATCTGCCTGAAACTGGAGCAGATCATCAGGTGATGCCAGAGCGGCATTCTGCAAAACACAGATGCAATGGTTTTAACCAGCACCACTACCTTCAAATGTTCATTTCCTGTAATATCTACTCTCAGATGCCTAAATCTGATGATCTATCTGGACTACATCTGTGATACCAATGATATTTTCTTGAAAGAAGGTGAACAAGAGGACAAGGACAGGATTACATCTCCATATGTCAATGCAACATGTCTCACTGATGTTTAGGTTCATCTTATTGTCTCTTATTTGTTCGCTTTGTATGTTTTTCACCTCAGCATCAGCGAATGAAGTGTATAAACATGAGTGGACAGGTATGACAAGTTTATCTTCAACAGTAATGGCATAAAGCTATAACTCCTGGCATGTGGAAATCCCGATTAGAGATGGTCCCATCCCACTGTGTAGGTTAAAGGAATATCCACCAGCTACAGATAAGAGGATTTGAGAGGAATTAATGTCATTCTTTTATTACTGTAAGGATAAATTCATAGTGACCGACAACAGCGACCAGACACACGCTGACACACACAATCAGCTGAAGTATGCGGTAATGGACGCTGAATATATGCTGTAATACGATCAAACAAACTAGATTTCAGATTTACGATTGTACTGGGAGACCTGCGAACATCAGCAAATGTCGTAACGTTTCCCAGCGCCCACTCAGCCGAGGTTTGCTTGGGATGGCCAGGACCCAGGAACCATCCCGTCTTGGCTCTCTAGAAGAATTCTGGACTCCAGCTACAGACGAAGAGAAACAGGTCTTCCGTCATCATATCTGGTCATGAAGCTGGTCCTGCTGACTCTCAGGCTGCTGTGCCTTGCTTGTCTCTGGCCCGTCACCTTGCTCAACAACCCCTATCCTAACCGGAAGAAAAACAAGGATGTTTACTTGGCTGAGCATGGCAAAAACAGATTCAGAGGGTGAGTAATGAATTACTTTTGAATTACTGTTCAAAACTTTGGGGTAAGTAAGATTAAAAAAAAAAAAAGTAATTAATAAAATGATTGGAAAAAGTGACAGCAAAAGCATTTATGATTAATGTTACGAATAGATTTCTATTTCTAATAAATGTTGTTCTTATGAACTTTCTATTCATCAAAGAAATAACAAAAACAAAAATATTAGGCAGCACAACTGATTTCAACATTGATAATAATAAGAAATGTTTATTGAGCAGCAATGTAATGACATCACAGAAATAAATTAAAATTTGAATTATATATATTTTTTTGTGATTTTTTTGAGAATTGTAATACTCTTTCACAATATTACTGAATTTTTGATTAAATAAATGCAGCCTTCATGGTGAGCATAAGAGAATTAAAATATATATATATATAAAAAGACTTTTGAATGGTAGTGTACATTGTTAGGTTGTTTGATAAATTAAATTTTACTGTTTCATCTTCAGCAAATTGTTAGTTGTAATACATCTAAAATTACTTTGTTTGAACTTTTAGACATGTAATAGGGTTTAAATATTTGATCAGTTTTGCATAAAGATGTTGCTCTGTCGTTTGCCAGCATGCTTCAGTGTGTGAACAGATGGGGAGTAATTAGGAAAGCGTAAATAGGGGGTTTAATTAGACTGGAGGACACCAGAACCAGTTTTGAAGGGTTTCTGTGTTGTTTAGCATGAGGCTTGACTGAAAAATAGTGTTTAATTCGGGAATTTCTGATGAACCACTTAGGTGTGCTATATTGGATATTACAAGGTAGATAAATTGCCTATATTGTTAGAATCTGTATTATTTTAGTAACATTGTTAATATTTAGATTTTTTAATTTTTTTTAGTATTCACTTTAATTTTAGCTAAAGTTTTGGTCATTTTTATTGTTTTTTTTATATGTCTGTAGTTTTACTTAATTTGTATTTATTAATTTATAGTTCATTTAGGTTTAGTTATTTTACTAGTAATTAATCTAAATGATTATGAGAAATATTGCCTTTGCAACTAGTTGAAATAAAATATGCTTTCATTTTTATTTTATTTTTGTATATTATTTATATAGTGTATTACACTTCATATGGTATTATAGTTTATTTAGTTTCAAGTAATGCAAATGTGAATTATTGAATTATCTTTGTAATATCTGTCTACATGAGGAATGAAGTGAGGCTTAAATCCATTGTTGGTGGTTGTATATTACCACAGAGTAATGAGTTACACACAACCTCAGGAGTGAGAATATTTTTTCATTCTGTAATTAAAACCATCCTGGTGCTATCATCTGATTTTTGCTTTCATAGTGGAGGATGGAGAGCAGCCAAACTACTGTTTGGCATTAAAGTCACTCCTGCAGTTTCCTAAAAAGCCTTTTTTACGGTGTCAGCCAGGTTTTCCAGGTAATTTTTGTTAATGTGTCACTGCATTGAATATTTATAAAAGCTTTATCATGGTGAACTCTGTTTTTAGAAAGAAATTAATAAGGTAAAAACACATCTATTGAACTATATGCATTTAGTTTTTTAATGTAATTTAGTCATTTTTATTTAAATTTTTCAGATAATCACAGCAGTGTACAGCAGCATACATTGTGTCATTAGTTCTCTGCTGTGTTTTTGTTTGCATGATTGCGTAATGAGTCCATCACACAGTCTTTAGTGGTTGTGTGGTTCTGTATTCAGTTTGAGGTTTAATTTTGTAATTGCACTTCAGTGTGCAATTAACTTTGCCGTGTATTGAGCACAGCATGATTGACAGTATATTTGGGGTTTCAATTAAAGCATGCAGACGGAAAAGCTATGTTAGGTGAAACATTGTATGTCTACGACTGACCTTCACTAGTTACTGCCATGTTTTTGGCATATTTCATATCTTATCTCTCAGGACTCAGAGAACGGCTTGCTCAGGAGGCTTCTGGAACTGCTCCAAACCATAGCTCATTTTCACAATCTGGCACACACAACCGATGTTGTACGACAAGCTGTTTTTATAAATCATTCCTCTAATGGCTGAGTAATTATTTTCATATTACAGATGCTGGAGCACTGAGGCAGATGTTTAGGGTAGCGTTCTGACATGGAAACAGGTCGGCAAATGATTAAAACACGTTTTAGTTCTCTGTAATGCAAGGGTCCGACCCTGGACAACATTCCCGCTATTCCCTCCTGTTGAAAAATCACAGAAGTGCAATAACGGCCTGTATGTGTTTTTCTCCTGACCTTTTTTCCCTTATTTTTCAGACGGATTGACTACAAATTAAAGAGAAAGGACAGCACTAAGTCCCTCCTGATCAAAACTGAGCAGCTGCTAAGAATCGAAGACCACGACTTTGCCATGAGGCCTGGATTCGGAGGTCAGGACTCACTGTTTATTTGCTCCAATGATCAATTTTCATCTGGATCCTGAAAATCACACTTAGAGTGTTCTTTTTAATAAACCTGATTAGAAATGGACTGTACCATTTCACTGTGTCAGGGGGCAGAGCTAGGTGGATGTTGCCATCTCTCTGCTCGGGGGGTGGAAAGCAGCCAGAGGTGACTTTGACAGGGCGAGTGTGGTCCTAAATTCAAACGTGACCCAGATTGTGCCAAACACAAATTAGATAATGGGTGTTGACACAGATGTGCTTTGGTGGACAATAATCTGGATTACATCCCAGACCTGGTAAAACAGATGGAAAAGTGCAAGATGCCACTCATAGACCATTTTCACACATATTTGAATACTTAAAGGGATAGTTCAGCCAAAAATGAAAATTACCATATGATTTACTAATCCTCAAGCCATCCTAGGTGTATATGACCTTCTTCTTTCAGCCAAATACAATTAGAGTTCCAAACCTTCCAAGCTTTAATGGCAGTGAATGGGGGTCGAGATTTTGAAGCTCAAACAAATGCATCCAGCCATCATAAAAAGTGCTCCACACGGCTCCGGTGGGTTAATAAAATCCTTCTGAAGTGAAGCAATGCGTTTGCGTAAGAAAAATATCCATATTGAAAACTTTAAAACCCGTAATCTCTAGCTTCCGCTTACTGTCGTACGCGCACTCACGAGAGAGTGATGTTCTGGGCAAATGACGTAGGTGTAGCGTAAGCTACAGTGAGAAGTGATGAATGCGGAAGCGCAGACGAGAGAGCAAAACACCGGTCACGAATTAGAAGAACAAAATGAAGATTTATAAAAAAAAATTTCGGAGGACCTCGATATAAGCCAAGAGGAGACTGGTTTTCCTTTGCTGTAAACAAAACTTGGTTCTCAAGAGATTAGCATAGTCTCACCGTAGCTTATGCTACGCCTACATCATCCGCTGGAATTGCCACTCTCTTGTGAACGTGTGTACGACAGTTAGTGGAAGTTAGATACTACAGTTAATAAAGTTTTAAAAACTGATATTTTTCTTGCACAAATGCATCGCTTCACTTCAGAAGGCCTTTATTAACCCCCGGAGCTGTGTGGAGTACTTTTTATGATGGATGGATGCACTTTATTTTGCTTAAAAATCTGCCATTTTTTTTGCGCAAAAATATGCCATTAAAGCTTGAAAAAGCCAGGACATTTTTAATACATCTCTGATTGTATTTGTCTGAAAGAAGAAAATCATATAAACCTACAGTAGGATGGCTTGAGTGTATTTCATTTGTGAATTTGAACCATCCCTTTAAGACACACTTACAATATGTAAATGCCATTGTAGTATTAGTATATCAATTATCATAGCAAGTGCCTCTTTTAAAACCAAGATATTATAAACAGACTTTTTAAACAAAATATTTAACAGCATATTGTATCAAATGAAGTTTATTCAGTTGACTGAAGTTTATTTATAAAACAGTAGATATAATGGGAAAGTATAAGAACAATCACCTTGGTTTGTTGTTCTGCTATTGTAAAGTTATTGTTTGAGGTTTTAATTAAATACTGATATGGAATTTATGAATATTTTGCTTTGTAACTGTTTAAAAGTGTACTTAAGTGTGTTGAGAAACTTGAGTCGCTCTCTTTAAGTACACTTGAGTGGCCTTTCATATTATTTGCAACTACAATCTTCGATTTTTTTTTTTAAATATAAGATTTGAAGTTTAATACAACTCACAAACCTCTTTTTCAAAAGGGCCTCCGAAGTTAAATCCTCAGTCAGGTCTTATCCAACCCCTAAATAGTATTTAACAACAGATTGAACTTTAAACATTTATAAATGCATGCAAGCACATAAATGACAAATATCAATGGCAAATTTCACCATACATGGTTCACTGTGAGTGGTGGCATAGATGTGAGCATAAATCATTGTGTCACTTCCTTTCAACCAGCAGTGCTCTAATCTGCCAGTGCTTTAACTGTAAAAGAAGAAGCAGGAGGAGGAAGGGATAGATAAGATTTAGATACGGCTGTAGTTTATTGGTGATTGAGCTTTCTTTTACATGATTGAAGAAGATTGACACGTGGAACCAGGCTTTGAATGCTGTCCATTCAGTGGACCACTGTTAATTAATGATGGGACAAATAGGATTAGAGTAACATTTTGAGCTCCATATGCTCTCTCTGTAGGCGCAACGGAGGCAGTTTCTCTCTAAGTTGATATCAAAGGCATTGCTGTTGTCCTGCTTGCATATGAATGTGTCTTCTGTTCTGTAGGATCTGCCATCCCTGTGGGCATTGATGTGCAGGTGGAGAGTATAGACAGCATCTCTGAAGTAAACATGGTAAAAGTCCACATTCTCTTTTTATATAAATATAGCATGATGGTTCTGGTTCTTTAACAGTTCCATTAATGATTCTTAGTATATATTGAATAAATACTTGGAACTAAGACATTATGAGATTATTTCAATAATCTGAATACAAACCAGTTCTCAGCACAAAATTCAATAAAATGTTGGTCTTCTAAAAGCAGGCCTTTGGCTTCCTACAAAGTAAATCTCAGCAATATAAAAGGTCTTCCTGGTATATGTCAAAACCATTTTTTTTGCACCAAAATGCCAGTAACTGCTCTTCACTGTTGCCCTTAATAAGTTGTCATGTTTATCTATAAGGTCAGTAAAATCTAAAGGTCCGCTATTCCCTCCTGTTGAAAAATCACAGAAGTGCAATAACGGCCTGTATGTGTTTTTCTCCTGACCTTTTTTCCCTTATTTTTCAGACGGATTGACTACAAATTAAAGAGAAAGGACAGCACTAAGTCCCTCCTGATCAAAACTGAGCAGCTGCTAAGAATCGAAGACCACGACTTTGCCATGAGGCCTGGATTCGGAGGTCAGGACTCACTGTTTATTTGCTCCAATGATCAATTTTCATCTGGATCCTGAAAATCACACTTAGAGTGTTCTTTTTAATAAACCTGATTAGAAATGGACTGTACCATTTCACTGTGTCAGGGGGCAGAGCTAGGTGGATGTTGCCATCTCTCTGCTCGGGGGGTGGAAAGCAGCCAGAGGTGACTTTGACAGGGCGAGTGTGGTCCTAAATTCAAACGTGACCCAGATTGTGCCAAACACAAATTAGATAATGGGTGTTGACACAGATGTGCTTTGGTGGACAATAATCTGGATTACATCCCAGACCTGGTAAAACAGATGGAAAAGTGCAAGATGCCACTCATAGACCATTTTCACACATATTTGAATACTTAAAGGGATAGTTCAGCCAAAAATGAAAATTACCATATGATTTACTAATCCTCAAGCCATCCTAGGTGTATATGACCTTCTTCTTTCAGCCAAATACAATTAGAGTTCCAAACCTTCCAAGCTTTAATGGCAGTGAATGGGGGTCGAGATTTTGAAGCTCAAACAAATGCATCCAGCCATCATAAAAAGTGCTCCACACGGCTCCGGTGGGTTAATAAAATCCTTCTGAAGTGAAGCAATGCGTTTGCGTAAGAAAAATATCCATATTGAAAACTTTAAAACCCGTAATCTCTAGCTTCCGCTTACTGTCGTACGCGCACTCACGAGAGAGTGATGTTCTGGGCAAATGACGTAGGTGTAGCGTAAGCTACAGTGAGAAGTGATGAATGCGGAAGCGCAGACGAGAGAGCAAAACACCGGTCACGAATTAGAAGAACAAAATGAAGATTTATAAAAAAAAATTTCGGAGGACCTCGATATAAGCCAAGAGGAGACTGGTTTTCCTTTGCTGTAAACAAAACTTGGTTCTCAAGAGATTAGCATAGTCTCACCGTAGCTTATGCTACGCCTACATCATCCGCTGGAATTGCCACTCTCTTGTGAACGTGTGTACGACAGTTAGTGGAAGTTAGATACTACAGTTAATAAAGTTTTAAAAACTGATATTTTTCTTGCACAAATGCATCGCTTCACTTCAGAAGGCCTTTATTAACCCCCGGAGCTGTGTGGAGTACTTTTTATGATGGATGGATGCACTTTATTTTGCTTAAAAATCTGCCATTTTTTTTGCGTAAAAATATGCCATTAAAGCTTGAAAAAGCCAGGACATTTTTAATACATCTCTGATTGTATTTGTCTGAAAGAAGAAAATCATATAAACCTACAGTAGGATGGCTTGAGTGTATTTCATTTGTGAATTTGAACCATCCCTTTAAGACACACTTACAATATGTAAATGCCATTGTAGTATTAGTATATCAATTATCATAGCAAGTGCCTCTTTTAAAACCAAGATATTATAAACAGACTTTTTAAACAAAATATTTAACAGCATATTGTATCAAATGAAGTTTATTCAGTTGACTGAAGTTTATTTATAAAACAGTAGATATAATGGGAAAGTATAAGAACAATCACCTTGGTTTGTTGTTCTGCTATTGTAAAGTTATTGTTTGAGGTTTTAATTAAATACTGATATGGAATTTATGAATATTTTGCTTTGTAACTGTTTAAAAGTGTACTTAAGTGTGTTGAGAAACTTGAGTCGCTCTCTTTAAGTACACTTGAGTGGCCTTTCATATTATTTGCAACTACAATCTTCGATTTTTTTTTTTAAATATAAGATTTGAAGTTTAATACAACTAACAAACCTCTTTTTCAAAAGGGCCTCCGAAGTTAAATCCTCAGTCAGGTCTTATCCAACCCCTAAATAGTATTTAACAACAGATTGAACTTTAAACATTTATAAATGCATGCAAGCACATAAATGACAAATATCAATGGCAAATTTCACCATACATGGTTCACTGTGAGTGGTGGCATAGATGTGAGCATAAATCATTGTGTCACTTCCTTTCAACCAGCAGTGCTCTAATCTGCCAGTGCTTTAACTGTAAAAGAAGAAGCAGGAGGAGGAAGGGATAGATAAGATTTAGATACGGCTGTAGTTTATTGGTGATTGAGCTTTCTTTTACATGATTGAAGAAGATTGACACGTGGAACCAGGCTTTGAATGCTGTCCATTCAGTGGACCACTGTTAATTAATGATGGGACAAATAGGATTAGAGTAACATTTTGAGCTCCATATGCTCTCTCTGTAGGCGCAACGGAGGCAGTTTCTCTCTAAGTTGATATCAAAGGCATTGCTGTTGTCCTGCTTGCATATGAATGTGTCTTCTGTTCTGTAGGATCTGCCATCCCTGTGGGCATTGATGTGCAGGTGGAGAGTATAGACAGCATCTCTGAAGTAAACATGGTAAAAGTCCACATTCTCTTTTTATATAAATATAGCATGATGGTTCTGGTTCTTTAACAGTTCCATTAATGATTCTTAGTATATATTGAATAAATACTTGGAACTAAGACATTATGAGATTATTTCAATAATCTGAATACAAACCAGTTCTCAGCACAAAATTCAATAAAATGTTGGTCTTCTAAAAGCAGGCCTTTGGCTTCCTACAAAGTAAATCTCAGCAATATAAAAGGTCTTCCTGGTATATGTCAAAACCATTTTTTTTGCACCAAAATGCCAGTAACTGCTCTTCACTGTTGCCCTTAATAAGTTGTCAGTAAAATCTAAAGGTCTCTTGCAGGACTTTACGATGACCCTATACCTGAGGCATTATTGGAAGGATGAACGGTTGGCATTTCCCTCCAGTAACAATCTGAGCTGCACATTTGACGGCCGGCTGGTAAAGAAGATCTGGAAGCCTGATGTCTTTTTCGTCCATTCCAAGCGCTCCTTCATCCATGATACCACCACGGAGAACGTAATGCTGAGGGTTTACCCAGACGGCAACAGCCTTTACAGCGTCAGGTAGATGTCTGCAACCTCTGATTATTTATTTCCTTCATATGTAATGTTTTAATAATGGAATATTCTCTTGATTGTAGGATTACAGTTACTTCTCTGTGCTCAATGGACTTCAGCAGATTCCCACTGGACTCCCAAATCTGTTCCCTGGAATTGGAGAGCTGTGCGTGTCCACCTAGAAACATCTTCAGTTCTAGTGTAATTTAAACTTGCAGCTTTTTGACACCATTTAGACAGTAAAATAATGGTAATGGAAAGGTGCTTACAATGGAAGTATATGAAGTAATGAAATAAATGTCAGAATATGCACTGTTTGTGAAAGTATAGCAGCATGTTACATACAGTACAGTGACGTGACATGTGGCCAAGTATGGTGACCCATACTCGGAATTAGTGCTCTGCATTTATCCCATCCAAAGTGCACACACAAACAAAGCGGTGAACACACACACCGTGAACACACACCCGGAGCAGTGGGCAGCCATTTATGCTGCGGCGCCCGGGGAGCAGTTGGGGGTTCGGTGCCTTGCTCAAGGGCACCTCAGTCTTGGTATTGAAGGTGGGAGAGAGCGCTGTACATTCACTCCCCCCACCCACAATCCCTGCCGGTACGAGACTCGAACCCGCAACCTTGGGTTACGAGTCCAACTCTCTAACCATTAGGCCACAACTTCCCACGACTAACATAGGCTACTGCTTTTTTTCAGTAGCCTATGTTAGCATGAGACAAGTGCTTCCTGACCTTTTCTGTGAAAAGTTTTTTTTTAATTCTGTCATGTGAAGCCTGTAAACCAAGCAACCTTTCACTTTTAATTCGATTTTTATCAAACAATTAGATGTTTATTTGCCTAGAAAAAGGTAGTTCCACTCCAAAAATGATGATTTATAACTTTACAAATTTACAAGATGTTACACATAATAGCAGTAAAGTCATTGTGAATTGCTATTTGCAACCTATTTCTTCACATAATGTGACATAAAACTGAGTGAAGCAGGATATTTATCAAGAAAAATGCAAACTGGAAATAAATTAAATCATTAAAAGTGGATGTTACTTAGTACTATTATTATATTTATAAATATATGGAATTAGCTTTTATTTAATTTTTGGTTTTCATTTTTTACATTTTAGTTTTAGTAATTTTATGTGCTTTTGCCATTTTTATTTTATTTACATTTTTTTTCAATAGTTTTAGTTCATGACAAGAACACTGTTACTTACTAGAGCAAATGCTAGTGTTTTAAAATTACATCTAAAAATAGCTTTATTTATCCAGGTTACTTTTAAACCCATGGAGTACATGGACCCATTTAATTTTATTGCATGTGCCTTGCTACAACTGCCTATTTTGAATCAGATGAGGACTGATTTGAAATGATTTTCTTCAGGAAACAACATTATGCCACAAATGCTGTTTGAATCCAGAACATTAATAAAATGGTGCCATAATAGCACACTTCAAGTTATCCATGTATATAAACACAACTTGAACAGGCACACTATCTTTTGCCTGTTTTCTTTATCTTTTGGCTTCTCTCCTGTATCCCATTAAGATGCATATGCTGAGAGCGACCTCATGCTGTACTGGAAAAATGGCAATGACTCTTTGAGGACAGATGAGATTGCTCTCTCTCAGTTCTTCATTGAAGAGTTTCACCCCTCACATGGTCTGGCACTGTACAGCAGCACGGGTATGGCACACTTTTCTCTCTCTCCTTCTGTGTATTCATGTTATGACAAATCTTATCTCTTTGTCCTGTCTGGTACCAGTAGGTAATTAATTCCTGACTTTACACGCGTTTCTGTCAGGCTGGTACAATAGGCTCTACATCAACTTCATCCTCAGAAGACACATATTCTTCTTTATGCTGCAAACATATTTTCCTACAATGCTGATGGTTGTGCTGTCCTGGGTGTCTTTTTGGATTGACAGGCGGGCAGTACCGGCCCGTGTCTCGCTTGGTGCGTAACACCTATCCACACACATGCAAAAACTGCTCAAAAATGGTTCTTCTATTGTATCTCTGTAAAAACCCCCTTTTGGAAGCTTTATTTTAATGTTGTTGGACTGCACCCCTGTGTGGTGTAGATTTAGGTTGCTTAGTTGTCTCGTTGCTTAACAAAGTCGTAACGATTTCCCAAGACGATAAGAAACAAGCCTGCATAAATGTGATTTAGCCAAGTAGGACATGGTCCTGGTTTAACATCAACAGAAAACACATTTGTCACTCTCATTTATAATCAAACTGTGTGTGAGTGCGACCATATTTTTCACACTAAAACAGTACTGACATGCATAATTTGCTGCTGTGTGAACATAGCCTATTTATGCGGCTTCACACTGTGTAGCTCCACCCATTATGAAATCTCACTGGTCCAAAATCCTGCAAAATGTGTTCTGATTAGCTGTGATTTTTAGTGATCATGTCACAGAAGTGTCACAATTTTTTTCTTTTATACTCGCTGGTAACCCTAGCCTGACATCTGATTGGTTGGGAAGAATCAACAAGTATGTTGATCTAGACAGCACTGCATTTTGTAACTTTGTAAATCAGTCTAAAATTGCGGTCACATTAGCGAAGTTTCCTTCCAACATTAATGATGTTTAAAAGCATAGCTCACACAGAAGTCACTTTCAAGCATCTTTCTGTTGGTCAACGTGGCCAAAAGAACCCATGGTGAACTCTGTGAGGAAATCTTTTGCCCTATCGAAAAATTCCCAGTTGTGTTGATTCTTATTGAAATGACTAGAGTATAGTCAGTGTGTCTCTCTGCATGTGTGTTCAATCCAGGCATCACTACAGTGTTGACTATGTCCACCATAATTACGGGAGTGTCAGCGTCCATGCCTCAGGTATCATATGTGAAAGCGGTGGACATCTATTTGTGGACCAGCTTCCTGTTTGTGTTTCTGTCCGTCATCGAGTACGCAGCCGTCAACTACTTCACTACTAAGGAGGAAATGAAGAAACTCGAGCAATTGAAGGTCAAAGTTCTCTTAAACATTCTTAATTCTTTCACTCTAAACTTGATACAAATTTTCAGTATTTTCAGTGTAATGATGCATTTTCTCTACATTCCAGGAAATTTTTATTTTGAAATGTCGCCCCCTCTTGATACAAATTTTCAGTATTTTCAGTGTAATGATGCATTTTCTCTACATTCCAGGAAATTGTTATTTTGAAATGTCGCCCCGTTGATCAAATATTGTAATAGATCAATCAATTCTTTAAAATGGACTTAAGACAGCATAAAAATGCTTTTTAAACCAGATCTATTTTTGTCCACGCTGTTAAGTTCTAAATAGACAAAAAAGATCCATATTTTTCATGTGCTATGTAATTATTAACCTATATGATAGCTGTCTGTAAACGGAACAAAATTCCAGTGATTATTCATGGGTAATCTTGATTTAAATAATTAATATATCTATTGTTGATCTCAAATCAAATATGGCCCTTGTGGACCTCAATAACATCAAATGTCAGTGGACCTTGATCATCAAACCTCTGCCATAGGCATTATTTTTTATTTTAGAGCAAGTTTTAGTGCACTATTTCTTTAATCTCCAATATGTTGTACTTTAAATAATCTTACCACATAAATTCCAGAAAAAGTGAATTGTGTTTGTCTCCTACAGCTCTCGGGATACGATGCATCTCAAGCCATGGCGTTCGATGGCTGTTTCCATGACAAGGACATAGAGCTCAGCACATTTCCGTTGTCTGACCTAAACACAGACCCATGCATGTCCTCCAGGAACTCCACAATGCCCGACCTCCCTCCCGTCCTGGGCACGCACCTCCGTCGGCGGCATTCTATCCGCCAAAGCGTCAACCATATCATAAACAACAGTTACAAGATCGACTCCTATTCCAGAATATTCTTTCCTTTGGCATACTTCCTCTTCAATATCATCTACTGGAGCATCTACCCCTAAGCGAGAGAGAATGTCATCCAGAAAACTGGCCTGCTCTGAGTTTATAAGACTCTCATAAACTTGATTGCTTGAATGTGATCACATTCAAACTCTCACACACACAGAAACTTTATCACAGACAAAAGGTATAATAAATTATTTATTATGTTAGAATCTCAGATTCCTAACTCTGCCTAAAATGTAAAAGTGTGAAATTATCATAAATTCATAAAACTACATAATTGTAACATGATAAATCATATGACTTTTTTGGCTACACAGAACCCTTATACTACTCAAAAATAATTTCAGACAAATGCTGTTTTACACAGTATACAGAAAGCAAATTAGATTACATGTAACAAATTTTTAGATACATTAGCATATTAATTACATTTTTCCTCTTTATGTAAGAACTACAAAACTGAGAGGGACTATAAAATGTGAAAAAAAATAAACAACTATATGGAAAACAGAACATATCTCAGTCTTTCTACAACACGTCTGACAGATATATATGGTTTTTAAGACAGAATTTTTTCCTTCATTTTAAATGTAGTCCTTCATCAATTATAAAACCTTTATTAAGTACCATTTGATGCACTTGCATCATCTGAGATTTATTTATTTATTTATTGCAGAAGAGGTGTTTAATACTGTTTGCTGAAAATATATAGGAGTTTAAAACCCCAAAAGCATAATATACCTCACTCCTCAGTACATAGAGATATTTTTACACATTGACTCCCATAGGTACATGCTCTTGCTATTTATTACTCAGCTGTGAGCAGCCCAGTTCAATAACAAATAACAAAATGTCTGGCTATAAAGCTAAATGCTGAAAGCTTTACTGCATGTAACATTGATTCAGACAAACGGATGAGAAAAGACATTTCGAGCTGAGTCATTAGATTCTCATCTTGGTAATACATTTTTTTTTCAGGCCTGATAGAAACATAATATTAAATGGTCTGTTTCTTCACCTATTTTCCTGTCTGCGTTTATTATCCTCTTCTAAAAACTATTCAGATCTGAGTCGTGAACGGATTTGACTGTTCATCTCATTGAAGATCACGTCGTCATTTGCTTCCCCTGACATGATCACACTGTCATCCACCGGTGAGCCTTTAATGTGAAATTACAGAGTTAAGAACATTCTTGACTTGTATAAAATGCATTTGTATATTTTTTTTTTCATCAGAACTGACCGATGCCTTGGGACGGCACTGAGTCATCGCTGCTCACTGAGCTTCGCGGTACACTGAGGGTCCCTGAATCTGCCGTCGTGATCGAAGTCTTTTTAGTGTGGTTGCTCTGTGTGGCTGTCCGACTCCACTCTGTGGATAAAACATTTGCGAGATTGAGAGGAGACGCCTATAAAATATCTATTAAAGGTAACATGCAGCTATTTGTATTGGTTAATAATGTGGCGGTACCTGAATTTTCAGCCAATCGTAAACTGCCACAACAGAGGTACATTCTCCACTGTTTACGGACATTTTCCTTCAGAGCGCAGTGGAAAACAAAAATAAAAAAGCCTGAGAGAGAATGAGAACAAGAAAAAAAGACCCTTTTTTAAATCAAGCGATCAAGGTAGTTGAATTATTACATTGAAATTTTTTTTTTTTTTTACTTTTTGCATAAAACAAAATACATAACATTGTTTCTTACCCTGTAGGGAATTAAAGATGGCAAACAGGTACGTAAAGGCCAAATTGACCGGTCTCCAGGCGAAGAAGGCGAAGCCCCATGTAAGCCCGAGCAGGAAAGTAAGTCCCGCGATGCTACGAAGGTCATGCAAGCCGCTGCGGTACTGATTATTGTGAGGGTTTCTGCGCTTGATTCGTCTCAGATGGATCATCACCACCACAAACATGGCCAGGTTCAACACAAATATGACGCAGAAGTACGCCACAACAGCGACATAGAACGCTATGTTATTGTTTAGCCAACAACTAGAAGAGAGAAATATAGAAACATTAGGAGCGATGACATAATGAAGTCTGATGCCTTTAAAGCGGCCATGAACTGAGAAACCAAAATTCCCTCGATCTTTTGACATATACTGTAAGAGGTCATTGTACTATAAAAACATCCTGTAAGTTTCAGAACCCAAAACTTTCTCATTAGTCTAAAAACAGCTTATATTGAATGCAGTCAGCCAAAACGACAGGTTGTGGAATGTGCCACTTTATGATGTAATAGTACTGCCTCCACAGAAGAAGATCAAAAAGGGCAGTTCATGACCCCTTTAAATGATGAGGTGAATACTTACAATTCATCTGTAGTTCCGTCAGAAAACTTCCCATAGCTTACGAGGCCATAGTTATCTTTGTTTACCGCAATCACAATAATGACGACAACCAAAGGGATTCCTGCAATAACAGACATTACGAAATTAAATCAGCAGTCATCTACAGCCACAAACCACACAGCTAATTTAACAGCTGAACTCACCCCAGCCTGCCAGGGAAAATTTTAGCATGTATCGAGACATGAAGTTGTTGAAGACTTTGACGATGGCCAGGTACATATGCAGAGCCTCCAGTCCCATCCAGGTGAAGGAGACCAATAGGAAGTAGTGCAGGAAGAAGGCTGCGGAAATGCACAGGCCTACAGCATCTTTGTACAGCGCCAGCCACGAGTCCAACAAGAAGACCAGGTTCAGCAAGAGCAGGCCGAAACTCAAATGGATCAAGATCTTTGAAGGGATGTCCCGGCGGAGTTTTCTGAAATGAAACAGAAGAAATGTGTATATAAAGGTTCTTTGGGAATTCATTTCAGTTTACAGTTGAGAATAATTTTGTCACATTTTATAAGAGGTTTTTAAAGGGGTCAATCGTGATTAATCAAATTTTAGGGCTTATAAACTCTGAGAGGGAGGATATTACTCACTCAAACGCGAGGTAGGTGATCAGAGTAACCGAGAGGAAGATGGCGGACACCCCACATCCGATATAAGTGATGAAGGTAAGGATGATGGCATGCAAAGAGTCAGATATGCCTTGCCGGCTAACGTCCTTTGAAGACAAAACAAGTTGCAAAATGATTAATGAAAACATTATAGAACAATCCCAGAAATGTGTAATGCATAGCTAACTCAGGGCTCAAAAATAAGGATGGCCAGTTGATTTAAATACATTTTTGTATAAATGATTACCGTTTATTTATTTATTTATGTAAATTGTTATTTTAGGGTTAGTAAGATATTTTTCTGAAAGAAAAATGTTTTTTTTCACCAAGAATAAATCAACATTGACCTTAGTAATGCAAAAGATTTTTATTTCAAATAAGCTCTGTTCTTTCTAACCTTTCTATTCAAACAATCCTGAAAAAAAAAAATCTAATTTCCAACATTGTTTTCAACATTGATAATAATAATAAATGTGTCTTGAGCACCAAATCAGCATTTTAGAATGATTTCTGAAGGATCATGTGACACTGAAGACTGGAGTAATGATGCTGAAAATTCAGCTGTGCCATCACATGAATAAATTACCTATATTAAAAATTTAAAAAACAGTTATTTAAATAGTAATAATATTTCACAATATCTGGTTTTACGGTAGTTTTGATCAAATAAAGGCAGTCTGGGTGAGCATAAGAGACTACTTTATTTATGGAACTCAAACCTTTGAAATATAACATACAGTATATGTATGTGTATTTCTGACAGTTATAAAAATGTTTAAAGAGTAAGTAAAGATAAAAAAAAATGTGTACGTAAATGTAATGTTTTTAAATATTGGCATGCCAAATAAAAATCCATTGTTGAGGCAGTCATCACTCTCTATGCTCAGTGTATTTCTGTTTGTATTTTAGCATTTAAAAACCAAGAGTCTTTCTGACTTGTAAATGTTAATTAGACATGATGTGAAATGTTAATTAGATAAAAGATGTGGGCATTTCTGTGAAAAACCCCCCCACACTGACATACATACCAGTAGTACAGCAAAGCTTGTCAGGTGATTGCAGCTGCAGACAGTTTCGTTCTCGGTGCTGCTGTTTTTGACAGAGCAGCCGTTGCCATTCCAGCCTCCTAAACCTCCTAGAAAATCCAAAACACATAGGAATTAAAAGACATTAATTAAGAAATCAGACAGATCACATATTTCACAGTTTCTCAGGAATTCTTGGAGGTGTGTAATCGCACCGTTTTGGTCAAAGTCCCAGAAAACACAGGAAGCTACATAGTTCCCCTGTGGGAAAGGAGTTAAGGAAGAGATAGATCAGGCAGGTTTCAGCTGGCATTGAGATATAATGTACAGCAAATATGTATGCATTGCACACACACCGCAACGGGCTGTTTATTCCTCAGAGTAAATGTAACATTCTCCCTCAGGTTTTTGATTGACAGGTTAGCCACACTAGAGCCTAGTATGTGGCTGTTCAGCTTCTCTGGACTCAGGGTTTTATCCTGTAGATAGATGCAAAATCAAAGAATCAACTGATGAGCAGATTCAAATCTGCTAACTTTATTTCTGAAAATGTTATCTAGTCAGGATAGGGTGTCTGTTATGGTGCTTTTGCATTTATAGCTTAAATACATGGTAATTGGAAAAGACAGCATGACATGAAAGTGAATAATTAATAACAGAATTAAAATTTTTCTGTAAACTTTTTTATTTAATCGGAGGGCAATTGGTTTTCTGTAAATGTTATTTACAAACAATGCTCTGTGCCGATGTGTTCGATATGATACAGTGTTCTATATGAAACTCCAATCAACCCAGTTTTACCCGAAAAAATGTGCTTTTCTGAAAGAAGGTGAACTGGACTCTAGAGGCCATCTTCTTTTCTTCTGGAGAGAGGTTCTCTGTCAGAGATGCAGGTAGTGTTATTTTGGCCAAGGGGGAGGAACTTTCCACTGCCCTGACTTGTCTTTGAAGTCCTTTTGTGACCTGTATAACCAGAAATATAAACACCAAATTTTGAGTGTGACTTCCAAAAGCATCCAAAATGTTAATGAATTGCTTGGACTTCAGTTGTTATTTATTACCTGTGGGTTTAAGGGATCTGCAATTGTGAATGATGTTTTCCCAAAGTTGGTCCCATCAACTTTGGTCACAGTCAAAGCGAGTGAATCAAATACGATGTTTTCAGTCTGGTCCCGAATCACAAGCTTCATACCCAAATTATCCACAGCTTTGATTAATCTACAAAGCACAATACATGATTTGCATTCAATATTTCAAGTTTGACAGTTTCAGACATTGAATGCTTGCGTTGCACGTGTCTCACCGGTTTGAGGAGGCAGCCACAGTATCTGCAGAGCTGTTTAGAAAGTTGTTGATGACGGACAGCACTATTCGGCCTAGATCCAGACTAATATTGGGTGCGGAGATAAGATTTTCTAACTGGTTGACCAGCTGACTGACCTCAGTTGAGTTTAAAGATGCCAAATTCTGTGTTTGGTTCAGAAGATCGCTAGCCACTGCATCTGGGCTTTTAGTTGTTGCTTCTGAAAAATGAACAAAAATAAATGAACAGCTATTGTAGATATGGCATAAATATACACTCGCACCAAAAACATTTTTAATATACTAAACTTCACTGCATTGGATACAAATTAGCAAGTGGCATCTGCAAACTAAAGCCATTCTCAGAACTTTTGCTATAAATAAATATAATTTACTTTGATTTTTGTATAAAATGCAAACAGATTGATTATTTAATGTCATTTAATGTTGTTTGGACCCCATAGATTTTCATGATATGATCAAAGAAAAAACATTGAGACGTTTGTTCAAAGTATAATTTTCTGTGTTCCACTGAAGGAAAAGGGTTGGAACAACTTGAGGTCACATAAATTATTATTTCTGAGTGAACTATCCATTTTAAGTGTACAGTTTTAGTAATTTTTACTGTTGTGGATGCATGTTCCTAGAAAATCATTTATATTTGGAATTTTGAGTCAAGAAACTAGAGTCAGTTTTGGAATGTTGAGTCAAGAAATATAGTCAAACCTGTAGTAGTTGCCATGGTAGTGGCTAGTGTTGTTGGCACAGCTGGAACGGCAGGCCTCGTAGTGACTGTTGTTGAGTTGCTTTTGCTAGTCGTTGGAGTTGGAACAATAATTGGAGCTTCTGTTGTGGAAGTGGAGCTGTTCTGAGGAGAGCTTGGCTGTATCACTGATGGAGCAGTTGTGGGAGCTGTACTGCTATTTGTGACAATGCTAATAACAATGGTCGTATTTGTTGGTATGTTGTTTGGAATGTTAATTAGATTGATTGTTGTAGTTGTGTTAGTGATTATATTTTCAGTAAAGGCATTTTCTATTGTGCTATTTGACTGTGTTGTGTTAAGAAGATTAACTGTTGTGACAGGCTCTAAAGTGGAGTTGGTTGGCCCACTGGTAATATTTTCTGTTGTTGGAAAGGTTGTTGTATGCATCTGTGTTGTATTTGTGATGTCAAACTGTGTTGTATTAACTGTAGGGCTTACAGTTGTATTCAGTTCCAATGTGTTATTGGAGGTCTCTGTTGAGTTGATGCTACGATTGACATCAGTCCCATTGAAATTGGTTTCATTCAGTGGCGCATCTGTTGTGTTAAACAAGGTTATGTTGATTGTAAAGGCTGTTGTATTTGATTGAGTTGTATTGAACAGGGAGTCTGTTGTGTTGGAATAAGTGACATCAGTTGTATTAAAAGTTGTGAAGTTAAGTGAATACATTGTAGTATTGAATTCAGGTGTATCTGTAGTGGTATCAGTTTCAGCATCTGTGGTCTCCTCCACTCTAGAATCATTCAGAAGCTGTGTTGTGTAATAAGGAATGGCTGTTGTATTGAATTCAGATGTACTGTTAAGAGGTTGAGTTGTATTTGATTCATTTACGTTACTTGGTGATTCTGTAGTGTGGGCTAGGCTTGTATTATTTGAGTGTGTTGCATTTTCAAATAGAGTGGTTGTGTTATATTGTGTAACATGTGGGTATTGTGTTGTGGTATTTAAGACAGAAGAGCTCACATTTGTTGTGTTTTTGTGGTTCGTAGTAATTTTAAGTGTTCCGTTAACCTCTGTCACATTAGGTATTGTTAAATCTGTCCTATTTTCTATGAGAGTTGTTACATTGTGAGTGAATAATGTAGTGTTAAATATTGTTGTATTGTCTTGCCCAGTAATGTTTAAATGTGTTGTGAATGTGGTGGTGTGTTGTGTAGTGTTTAATGGGGGTGTTGTTTCATTTAGGTGTAATGGTGCTGTCAAGTTAAACAGTGTTGCATTTGGCAGAAAGGTTGTGGTGGACACTGCGCCAGAGATTTGAGAACTACTTGCGTTAGATTGTGCCGCATTTTCCAGACTTTCGGATGTGAAAGTTGAGTTTGGAACTTTCACTGTTGTATTGAATGGTGTGACTGTTGTATGATGTAGTGCAGTTGAGATGAGTGGCATGGCAGTAGTAAAGTGAGGTGCAACTGTTGCATTTAATGGTCTAACTGTTGTAGTAAGAGTTTCACTTATCTGTGCTGTTGTATTGGGTGGTGTTGTTGTTTCCACCTCAGAAGGTGGTATGGCTGTTGAAATGAGTGGCATACCTGTTGTATTAAGTGGCGTGATTAATGTGTTGAGAGTTGTTGAAGTTTTATCAAGTGTTGTGACTGTTGCAGCAGCTGTGTCAATTGATGTGGCTGTTGTACTGACTATAGGGGTTGTTGAACTGAGTCTTGTGACAGTTAGGTTGAGTGGTATGACTGTTGTATTGACTGGTGAATATGTCAAGTTTTGTACTGTAACTGTTGTATTGACTGGTGGGGTTGTTACATTGAGTGCTATATCTGTTGTACTGACCAATGAGGTTGTTATAATGGGTGTGCCTGTTGTGCTAACTGATGCGGTTGTTATTTTAGGTGTTGTATTTGTTGCACTGATCGGTAATGGTGGTACATTATGTGGTGTAGTTGTTGTGTTGATTGTTGTTTCTGTTGTTTTGACTGGTGAGGTTGTTATATTATGTGGTGTACTTATTGTATGGACCAGTGAGGCTGTTACATCGAGTGTCGTATCTCTTGTACTGGCCGGTGAATTTGTTATATCGAATGTGGTTTCTGTTATTTTGGCTGTTATATTGTGTGTTGGATCTATTGTATGGACCAGTGAGGGTGTTATACTGTGTGCTGTATCTGTTGTACTGACCATTGTGGTTGTTGTATTGTGTGGTGTCCCTGCTGTACTGACCAGTGGGCTTGCTTCATTGAGTGTTGTATCTGTTGTATGGATCAGTGAGGTTGTTAAATTGAGTGTCGTTTCTGTTGTACTGACTGGTGAGGTTGTTGTATTGTATGGTGTACCTGTTGCGCTGACTGGTGGGATTATTATATTGTGTGTCAAATTTGTTGTACTGATTGGTGATGTTGGTATATTGTTTGAGGTACCTGTTGTGCTGACTGATGAGGTTGTTATATTGTGTGTTGTATCTGTTGTGCTGACTGGTGAGGTTGTTGTATTGTGTGTTGCACCTGTTGCGCTGACTGGTGGGATTATTATATTGTGTGTCATATTTGTTGTACTGACTGGTGATGTTGGTATATTGTTTGAGGTACCTGTTGTGCTGACTGGTGAGGTTGTTATATTATGTGTTGTGTCTGTTGTGCTGACTGGTGAGGTTGTTTTATTGTTTGATATACCTGCTGTACTGATTGCTAAATTGTGTGGCGTACCTGTTGTATGGGCATTTGAAGTTGTTATATTGAGTGTCGATTCTGTACCTGTTGTTTTGACTGGTGAGTTTTCTATATTGTTTGATGTAGCTGTTGTGCTGACATGTGAGGTTGTTATATTGTGTGGTACTACATTGAGTGTTGTATGTTTTGTACTGACCATTGAGGTTGTTATTTTGTCTGTTGTATCGACTGGTTGAGTTGTTACATTGAGTGTTGTATGTGTTGTACTGACCACTGAGGTTGTTATTTTTTCTGTTGTATCTGCTGTATTGACCGGCTGGGCTGTTACATCAAGTGTTGTATGTGTTGTAGTGACCACTGAAGTCATTATATTGTGTGTTGTATCTATTGTATTGACCAGTGGGGTTGTTTCATTGAGTGTTGTGTGAGTTGTACTGACCACTGAGGTTATATTGAGTCTTGTTTTGACTTGTGAGGTTGCTATATTGTATGGTGTACTTGTTGCACCGACTGTTGTTGTTAATATATCATGTGCCGTATTTGTTGAACTGACTGGTGGGGTTGTTACATTGTATGTTGTACTTGTTGCGCCGACTGTTGGGGTTATTATATCGTGTGTCGTAGTTGTTGTGCTGACTGGTGAGGTTGTTATATTGGGTGTCTTATTTGTTGTACTGACCAGTGATGCTGGTATATTGTTTGATGTACCTGTTGTACCGACAGGTGAGGTTGTTATATTGGGTGTTATATTTGTTGTACTGACCGATGATTCTGGTATATTGTTTGATGTACCTGTTGTACCGACAGGTGAGGTTGTTATATTGGGTGTTATATTTGTTGTACTGACCGATGATTCTGGTATATTGTTTGATGTACCTGTTGTACCGACAGGTGAGGTTGTTATATTGGGTGTTATATTTGTTGTACTGACCGATGATTCTGGTATATTGTTTGATGTACCTGTTGTACCGACAGGTGAGGTTGTTATATTGGGTGTTATATTTGTTGTACTGACCGATGATTCTGGTATATTGTTTGATGTACCTGTTGTACTGACAGGTGAGGTTGTTATATTGGGTGTCATATTTGCTGTACTGACCAATGATGCTGGTATATTGTTTGATGTACCTGTTGTATTGACAGGTGAAGTTATATTGTGTGTTGTACCCGTTGTGCTGACTGCTGGGGTTGTTATATTGTGTGTCGTCGTTGTTGTACTGACCAATGATGCTGGTATATTGTTTGATTTACCTGTTGTACTGACAGGTGAGGTTGTTGTATAGTGTGTTGTAACTGCTGTATTGCTCAGTTGAGGTGTTACACTGGATGTTTTATGTGTTGTACTGACCACTGAGTTTGTTATATAGTGTGGTGTACTTGCTATATTGACCGGTGGTACTATATCACGTGTTGAATTAAGTGGCAGACTTGCTGTATAATTTGACACAGTGTTTGTTTGATTGCCTGTACTGTTGATGGATGTATTGAATATTAGACTTGTTGTATTGAGTGGTGTATTAGAAGTGTTTGTGACTAATGGTGTGGATGGTGTGACTGTTGGGAATGTAGCACTGCTCTCAGAACTTGTTCTTGGAGGGACAACTTCAGTTGTGTAGGACTCGGAAGGTGAGACTTCACAGCTCTCATTTAAAATAACAGCGAATGTCTGACCCTGTGCACTGGAAAACAAAGAGCAAGATTGGAATGTTTGTTTGGCAAAGGCTTTTGTTAGTCCTGAAACAACATTCTTGTCAAACAAACAATCCTAACCATTATATACTGCTAAAATGAGGAAATGATAGGTTGATAAGAATGTTGTTCAAAACATAAATCCAGTCCTAAGCCTGATTATACAGTAATATCTGATTGGTTAACAAGAATGTTGTTTCAGGACTAACACGAATGTTTGTCAGGACACATGCCCTACTTGGCAAAACCACATTAAATGGTTACGTTTACACTACCAACAGTTCTGATTTGCTTTTCAAAATTGTTCTTTAGGACTGATGTTTAATCATTAATAATTCAGGTTGGAATGTGGTTTGAATGTTTAATAAAAAATAAAATTTGGTTTGAATCTGATATCCAGAAATGTTGATTTTCAGTGTAAATATAGCCAGAGACATGGAAATATATTAACTGAAATTTGAATAATTGAAATTTGACACAAATGTGAAGTATGCACAGTGTCTAATATGAACTGAATACAAGATTTACCATTTCAAATGGTCTTTGATGTCATCAATGTGGCTGGAACTGAAATTTACAGACATCCAAGTGAATGTTGAGTTTAAAGGAATGGTTTCCGAATCAGTGGGCAAACGACATATGGCTGTATAGTAGAGAGATAGGGAAAAAAATTGCATTTTTACTGTTTACACCACTTGGATAAGCTTAGCTATAATTGGGGAATACCAGTACATACAGTTCAACACTCACCAATTTGACTGAGGGGTCCATCAAAACTAATGTTGGTACTGTCCTTCCAAAGAATGGCAATAGCAGTACTAACAGTACACACATCCAGCTGTTTTGACAGCTGCAGAGTTAACATACATGTGTAGAGCCTGAGGAATGACAGACAGGTTAAGCTGTCTGTAAATACACATAGACACACAAACACACATGATAGTACAACTTGCCTCGTTCCTTCACCAAAACATTCTAAGTGCATTCCCTGCAAATCATAAATCACAACCTTTTAGAGCAGATACAGAAAACAAGATTTGACCCACTTGTAACAAGATTATTTTACTGAAGATGGAAAACAAATGGATGTTTACCTGATACAACTGGGATACTTCAGTAAAAGAATTACACAGAGACCTATGAACATGAAACATGAAACATGATATATACACACACACACACACACACACACACACAATATTTTGTTTTTTAGAACACTTTTTTTTCTCCCCCCGAAATCGTGATACAATTTCTCAGGATTCCTTGGTGGATAAACAGTTCAAAAGAACAGCATTTATTTGCAATAAAAATGTTTTAAACAAATTATAAACATCTTTACTGTCAGTACTGTCATACTTCTAATGTGTCCTTGATGGATGAAAGTATAAATTTCGCTTTAAAAAAATTACTGACCCCAAAATTTTGTATATATGTTTTTTTTTTACAGGAATTGCAGACATACCCTTGCATTCTGGATTCGTTGCAAGGAGTGCTCAATTGTACAACCTATTGAATGAAACAATAGAACTAATAAAACAATAATCATATTTTGTCATTCATTGAGGTAAGGTAACTTGCAAATCTTTAGACAGCAATGATTTGGTAAAACACTTACTATAGGCATTTTACCTGTTCGCAAAAACTTTTTCTCTAAAAACTCACCATGTTCTGAACGTAGGTGAAATTCACATCTGGGCTTGCAATATTTAGATGAACAGCATAATATGTCTCTAAAGGAGAGGTAGGAGAGAGAACTTGGAGTCTAATTGGTCCATGACACATTCTTGTACCTACTCTTTCATAGAATAATTATGTTCCACTCACCATTGTTGGTAGACACGTGACACTCACAATATTGTTGGTTCTCAACTAATAAAAAACAACAACCAAAATTTCATTTTTGAATATGATATTAGTCTGACTGGTATTAGTCAGAAAATGATGACCAGATAATACTGTAAGTCCAAAGAGTAATAACACGCACCGTTGCAGGATTGATTAGCAACCAAGTCTTTAGGAATGAAACCATTCTCCTTATAAGAACTAATGCAAGAAAGAGAGAAAAATGAAATCAATAATACAATCGCACATAAACACTAAAAATGCCAGAACTAATTTAAGAGTGTGGCAAGTCAGTAGCATATTCTACCATGTGACATTCACAGGTCCCTGGGTCTTGCAGACATCATCATAAGACATTGGAGATGTGCAGTGCACAAAACCCCCTCCAGGGGGCGTAATATTGTGATCTGGACACAGTCCTTTGCCTGTAAACAAATGCCATTCAGTGAGACTTCAAAAACAAACAATTAATCATGCATTATCTTAGAAACGGCTGTCTATTATTGTTATATGATCAATTGGATCACTTTTATTGTGCTTTTAAGGTGCTTTTTGTCATTTTGAAGCCTAACAGACCCAGTCTGCATTCACTTTCACGTTTGGAATAACAAATGGGTGAGTAAATTATGACAGAATTATGTGCTTGTCTCACTCACCCACTCTTTCTACAGCTCCCAGAAGCTGGATTTGGATCGATGGGTTTATAGTCCCGTTTTGCACCAGCCTTCGGAGGATGCATGTATTCACAGGTTGGCTCAGCTGTAGTAGCACAGTGCAATTTGTCCTTCTGTAAGAATGGGGGCAGTAGTAGCGTTACTTGATATTGAATTTCAATGAGATCATAATTGTTGTGTGGCTTATAGAGTTAGGGTTGACTTACTGGATGTTCTGCTTGGCTTCACATCTAACCTCTGCAGTCTATATTATTGAAAAAGACATTTTACAATGATGCAGTGTTGGACAACATCAAAGTTCAGCCCTGCCCTGTTCTCTTTTTTTAACAAATGATACCTACCACAAAGACTATGTCAGTTTGACATGATGTAGGTTTGATTCCTGTTGTTGAAACTCCAGCAGAGCAGGTGCTTTTATGAAAAAGATCTGAAAACTGATTATAGAGGGGGGAAGCATCAGGCATTTTAGAATTTCAAAATGAAAAACCCTTTATTTTATACAATACTCTCTTCTAGTTTATAAAATAATTATTAAATACAAAACTAATTTATTATTATTATTAGGAAAACTGGTATTTATTCATTTTTTTAAATAAAAATGCTCTTACCCAAATTTGAATCTCTCCCTCCGTCATATTAGAGCCTTTCACCTCCACAAGCATCCAGTAGTATGATGCTGTGACGTAAGAAGAGAGATATTATTACACATCCCCAGGAATCACCACTTTTAATCTAATGTCTTCTAAGAATAAAATAGGCTTTGTCTAAAAATGTTTTCTTTCTTACATTCATTAGCGCAGGACTGGGAAAAGTTACACTGTACTGCAAATGGCTCTGAAACAAATGAAAAGACACATCAAAGCATTGAACCATTAGGATTCATTTTATAATGTATAAATTATGTAATATGTGGCAGAATGAGAGAATGAAGGTAAGGAATTTAATTTAATATCCTGTAATTATCACCGAAATAGAAGCCATCTGTCTTTTTCCAAGAAAGAAGAAAAAAGACATAATCAGAACACAGTGATAACAGCCATACCTGTGAATAATACATTGGACGTCATTGTTCGTAGAACCGCTGTCTGATTGGTTACTTGAGTAACCTGCACAGTTGGTGCAGTGGAAGATCTTTCTGTCGTATGATTGACTGTTGTTTCAAAAGTACCGACTGGATGGCTAGTGTGATTGCTTGAAAGTGACTGGGCAGATATTGACGTGCTCTGGCTAGTTTGAGTGGTTATGTAAGACATAGATGAGGCTGGAGTTGGAGGTGACGTGTTTAATCCACTAGCGTTTGACATAGTAGTTATGTTATTAACAGCTGAACCAGCTTGAATAGCAGGTGTAATAGTGTTTGATGTGGTAGTTGATGTGAGGGGAATTTGTGTTGGTGCACTGAGAGTCACTGAAGGTTTAGAATTTGTTGTAGAGAGTCCTGCAGGATTTGATGTGGTTCTGGCTTGTGTGGTTGAAGCAGAGACTGTGTTTAAGACCTGATTCAAAGATTGAAGGTTCTGTCCTGTGGACAGGAACAGGAATCAGTTTCTAGATTCATCTCCTTTAAAGCATTACTGCTCAAAGTCAACTAGTCAACTATGTTGACCCATTCAACACCAGTACTACACAAAGTAAATGGCTCACTGACTGAAGGTGATCTGGAACTTTCTACTCCAGCTTTTTATATTCCACAGCATCTTACATCTGTTACTGACCTTGGGTGGTGGATTTCAGTGAACCGGTAATTATTGAAGTCAAAATCAATTGGAGTGGACCTTAGAAAGGGAGGGAAGAGAGGGAGGAAGAGACAAATTGTCATTCAACACAACACTAAACAAATTCCATAAAAAAATGTAAACTGCAAATAGACAGAAAGTACAATGCTTTACATTTATTTGTATATCTATATCTATATCTATATCTATATCTATATCTATATGTTGCTGTGGTGAAGTAGAGATGGAACACTTACTAGATGTCGAGACAAACTCTCGGGGGCTGGCTGAACCTTGGGATGCTGTAAGTGTATAAAATATTAAACTTTAACCTTTAAACCTTAAAATCAAAAATAGATCGGGTTTCTCACAAACACACCTATGCAATTAATTCATTAAGTGAAAGAACAGAACACAAAGTTTACACAGGTAACACCTTTCTATTTGCAGAACTGTAATCTTTCTTGATTTAGATGTTATTGATATGCAGATACAGCTGATTTCTACTCAACTACATCAATTTTTCTCTGCAACCCTGTCCAATTTAACTTCAGACAACAAGATTACCTAACCCATCTGCTATTTAAAACATCTGTTTGCGTCATGCACCGTGCCTGGAACAGGCATGCCTTTTCAGTGCAGCATGCCGTGAGATCGAGGACAAAAAGAAGAGCTACATTCGCAGAGGAGTGGAAATGACATTGACGTTAAAGATAAGCACTGTCATGAGAAGTATTGATTCCTGCAAACTATCCTAATTTCTAAGTAAATGATGCCTTCTGATATTAAATTGTTACTATTTAATGTGGAGGTTTGGTTACAAACTTTCTGTTCAGAGGTTTATTAGATATTTAATTTTCTTGATATTTCATTCAGATATTTCGTTCATTTCTGCTCCTTTGTGCCCTGTTTAGATTGTCCAAGCAGCTGTTTTAAATGTGATGGAAATGTACACACTGTTAAGTTCCAAAAGGACAAAAATAATAACTCCAAATCTTCCAAAATCTTCTAAAGCTTTATAATACCTTTGCTTATGGGGAACACTGAAATTAATTTGCTGAAACTCCTGTCATAGCTCTCAAATCTTTGTGCACATTCAATTCAGAACATTCAGATGTGCCATTTTGTAACTGGTCATGAGAAAGCAGCTTGGACATTCTGTAAAATATCTTCTTTTGTGTTCCTTAGGAATAAGCGTGTTCTAATAAACTGTCCTGTAGTCTTTGTATCCTTCTTTATAGTGAATTGGTTTCTTCTGACAGTTATGTAATTCATGGGTTTTCAAACCATTGCTGGACCTGGAGACTCCCCTCCAGTGCATTTTGCCCTCATTTAAAACAGTTGAATTATTAGATTTCTCCATGACCAGGAAACTTCAAAAATGTGCCTTGCTGGGAAGCCCCAGGAAGTTTGAAAACCCCTAATTTAAATTAACTGACTCTCTGATTCCTTTTTATAGGAAATATTTATTTAAATGCTTATAGTTTGGGACGTAACTTCCCCAAGACATTTACCCACCACCACACTACAATAATAATCAGTGAAGTGAATTCACACTTGCACTGCACTTACTGGATGGGGCTGTAGTTCTGTCTGCACTGCGTTTCATACGCAGATGCCCTAGACCTAAAATATGAAATATAGAAATAGAATTGGCATGCACAAATGATAGAAAGTCAAGAATGTTACTACTGCCCTTCTTGTACCCTGCATCAACATCTGATCTGATCATTGCAATCAAGACATCCCAGGTTTTCATCCATCTGGATGTGTTTTGAAATGTTTCAAATATCCTGTAGGATATTTGAAATTGATTTGACTTCATAATTTCCTGTGGAGGAGAAAAGGCATGTCTTATATAGTGAACTCATTTATGTCTAGAAACGAAAAGCCAGATTTGATCTGACGTATATGGGATGCATCTTTTAACTGATTTTTCTTTTTTTTAACTGTAGACATGTATTATTTTAACCATTATAGGTTGAGCAATTACTTTTAGATTAAACATTACAAAGACTTCTTTGGAATAAAGGTGCGGCGACATTTATTGTTGTTAATCAAATTTTCATATGCAAAACCCAGTCAATTAAAAAGGGATCTGGAATTTCACTTGAGGGTTAACGATTTTTCACAAAAGATGGTCAGATGATAGTTACCTTCTGATGCAGGGAACAGGCAAGGCTATTGACTCCCCTGTTGGAAAATCCATATTAAGCCAGTAACTATGTGCTGGAACATGATAACTGGCTTCTAGCTGGTTCAAAATGGTCATTAGCCTGTCCTAGCTATAGTCATTAGGTGGTCTAAATTGGTCATTAACTGGTTCAAGCTGGTAATTAGCTGGTGCTTGTTCATCATTAGCTGGTTCTAGCTAGTCTTTATGTGATCCAAGCTGGTAATTTGGTGGCCATAGCTAGTCGTTAGGTAGTCCAGCTTGTTCATTATCTGATCCTGGTTATTTATTATTCAAGATTCTCATTAGCTACAAGTACATGGAGGTGGCTTTCATGGACCAGCAACAAACTGGTTACCAGCTGGTCATACTAGCTTAAGGTGGTCAAACTAGTTTTTGGAATACGGGGATTAGTCAACCAGCTTTAATGACCACCTTAGACCAGCTAGAAACCAGCTACCATGTTCCAAAATACAGCTACCAGCTAAAGCTGGATTTTCCAACAGGATCGTTATTTTATCTAGAAATAATACATGCATGAAAGTGAGTTTTCTTGAGAAGTTAAATTAGTGAAATCATGCAACATTAAAACATGCATCATCTTCATCATGCATGTATATGAAGACACTACACACAAAATGTCCCGACCAATCCACATGCTGGTCTTTACAAGCAAGACGTCTACTTGGTTGGTTCAGTCAGCAACATTCTAAGCTTTAAATAGCTTTGAAGACGCTACAAAAAAGTACTCTGCATACTTTTAGTTCAGAGCGAGAAAGGGCTTCAGGCTGTGTATGGCTTGCCGAGTTGATCTGACGCTGGATTATACACAGTCATTAGGCAAATTATCACTGCTATTTTCAGCCCGCCTCTCTTATCAACTGGTTAAACAGGCTTCCCTTTTGTGAATTTCTATACTCACCACATTGCAATGTATAATCTTGTACTCTTGCCTGGGCACGTGTGACGGCCCAAAGTCTTGAGTCCCAGCCAATCACCGTCCCGTCCTCGCAGGCTCTGTGCTCTCCAACATCGTCCCATATGCGGAACAGGTAGAGCTCCACGGTGGCCATTTTCGCCCCAGGGGAGGCTTCGTTTGGTTGGCAACCCAGCAGAAGACGCCCTGAAGGAGGGATTGCTCGGGCAATGGCGGTCCGCTGGTATACTTCCGAGTTGCCACCTATCGTCAGGCTGAAGCTTTTGCGAGGGGCGTCCCACCGTAGACATATGTGGTACCAGTGATGAGTGGTCAGCTGGACAGGGAACTGGTGGCGTACACCCAACAGCCAGGCGTACAGGTTGTTTGTATCCCCCTGCAGGGCAAGTTCATAGCGGGGTGCAGGGGCCGAGACATAGCTAAATGCTGTCCACTCACCTGGGGAAAGGACCTGTACGTCCACGCATACCGTGGTTTGAAAGAGCACAGGCATACGCTCCTTCTCCTGTAAGGTCCAGTGGTCATCACACCCTTGCAGGACAGCCTTAGCATCAGACATAAAGAAGCCATCCACTGGGGAGAGAGAGAAAGATAAAAGATTTTTCACAATTTTTCTCCTTATATAAGAAATTTTAATGACGTCTGTATATAACAGGGCCAGTGTATGTTTTAGTCTATTGGCCGAGACTGATTTGAACTAAACCCATAAATTTATGATCGGGAAATATTCCTGTGTCCCCCTCTCTCATAGCTACAAGGTGTGAGTAGATAGGTCTCATCATTTTGAGGTAAATGTGCTCAAAAGTCTGAAAAAGCTGTGTGTAATTTTAAGGAACGTCTCTACCGAACACCTTTTTTCTGCAATTAAGCACACTTTTTTGGAGAATCTTTTTGATTCCCTTAAAAAGTGAAGTTCAAAAGAAATATTTATTTTATATTTTCTTTGTAAATTGTGAAACTTTACTGAATTATCAACCAAGATGTTATGATAGTTTTTGGTTCAGTGTATATTCAAACTAATGAATCCTTAACTTGAAATCAGTGTTATCAACTTTTTGCCTTTTATAAAGAAAAATTTGATTCAAAATACAACAAATCTCATAAATTGCACTTGAAATATTGTTAAAAATGTAATTATGGCTTTACCTCCATAATAATATATTTACAATCTAGATGTAAGCAAAATCTTAATAGGTCAATATAACCCTTCTAATTAAATTATTATTATTGTGTTTCGGTAGTGACAAATTTGGGGAGAGGACAAATATTCCAAAACTTTCTGAAAATACAATATGAGAATTAACTGCACAATTACTAGAAATGTGTACCTTGGATATTATACATTTTGCATACATACAATTTTTTTGGAAAAAGACAACGTTTTTTTCAATACGTTTCCAACTCTGACTTTGGACCAATTCTGTAGAATGGCCCATATACAAACCAGTAAATTATAGTGAAATGACCTCACATTATTTCTTATTTCTAAATATAAATAAAATTAAATGTTTCTTTAGGCCAGATACTTTTTATTCAATGTAAATAGGAATTTAGATTCTTTATGCCTTTTTTATATTTGTGAAAGTTATATTTTACATTTAATTTTTTTAAAGTTGACCAAAGGCATGTATAATTTCTTTATTTCAATGATTTATATCAGGCCTACATTTGTTAAATTATTATGGGATAAGAAAGATTGTTTATTAACTGAGATTGTTAATTGTTTTATAAAAACAATAAAATAAAAGACTCGCAAAATATAAAATATCAACCAATATATCAGTTATCATTTTCATATAAATAATTATTTTGTTATTGTGTTGGCCAAAATTTCCTTTTCAGTATTTCCCAGAAAATAACAATGTCCATAGCCAAAAAAAAAACAACAAAAAAAACCCCCTTGAATTCATGATGTCTTGGTGACATCACCTGAATTCCAAAGATTTATTTGGAATAAAGGTGCAGTGATATTTACAGTCATTCAACAATTTTGTGTGCAAAATCCATTCTTTTCAATAGGAATGCATGCGATCTGGAATTTTGCTTGAGGCTGAATGATTTCCCAGCACAGATTTCGGAGCGAGTTGGTCACAGATTCGCCCTGTTGACCAACAGAAAGCTGCTTGATTACAAAGGGACTTCATACATCACTACATTACTGACAATTTAAAAATGGACCTTTTTTGGCCCGCATAATTTTACAGAAATTTAGCCACACCTGAAACTGCACTATAATTCTTTCACAATAAGACCCGAAGCATATATTAAGAAAGTATATGGGGTCAATTTTGAAATCATGTAGACTTTTTCCTAGTTATAAAAAAAAAAAAAAAAAAAAAAGTTAGTATCACCCAGAAGAAAGTCTTCTGTCAAAAGCTATGATTGTCTGTATGGCCACTGACATTTACTAGACAATAACCTATTATCAACTTTGACTGCAAATTTATAAGGACACTGTACCCTTTGGTCTTTTCAAGACACCAAAAATTATTCTGCTCTGTTAAATTTTCACAAAACTCGCACACCTTCACATGAACTTTTAACTCTAATCCACTCTGACCTGCCCAGTTTACCACTTCCCCATGAGTTGTCAGTTTCATAATGCTTCTGTTTGATGCTTTGACAAGCACACAACCAGATAAAACAGGCTGGCCCAGATTTGGCCTGAAAGGAACAACTTGACAGCCAAATGTTGACTGATATTATGTGTGTGTGCTAGTCTAACATACCATGAATACTTCTGAAGGTGTGACGTACACCTGACTATGTCTAAATAAAACTCATGACTAGCTGCTAATTCTGAACCAGCATTTACCCGATCTTAGTAGACACCATATTTAAATATGATGTATGTTCTAGGTCACATATAAGTTGTTTGTCTACTGGAGACTTTTTAAGACTTTTTTTTCAATGTTCTTTCATCTACACACAACTGAATCAATCCCTCACAGCCTTGTTTTCATTTGTGTAAAATAAAATATGGTGTCTGCACTGTCTGTTCTTTAAAACACCAATGCTACGAAATCCTGTATTTTATTTTTAGTTGCATTTTGTAAAAATGTATTTAAAAAATGGCTCTGAACAATGATTATGAATAATATAAATAGCTTCATTGTAGTTAGCTTCAAAAGGTTAGCTTGACAAGAAGTGTATAGCTTGACAATCTAGTTTTAAAGTTGCTTCTCCAACTCTGTCATCCATCACTGCGTAAACGCTGCGTTTTTTTCTTTCATTCTCTTTTTCTCTCAAATGCCTGCTTATCTTCTAAGGTTTCCAGTGTAACTGGGGAGGTTCTTCCCATTTAGTGTGCCTCTGCACTATTCTACTCCATTTTATAGTTTAAGCATTGTAATTAGAGTGCTCATGCAGTAAAGCGAGGTGTACTGCGGGGTACCCTTATGATGCATTTGTTTGAGCTTGACCGCATAGCGGAAAGGGGAGAGAACTTAACTGGAAGCAAATGTGTAATAAAAAAATCGTCAAGCATTCTATATGAAAAAAAAAAAAAAATTCTAAAATGAATACAATGGATTGCAGAATACACTACCATTCAAAAGCTTAGCTTTTTTTAATTTTGATTTTTTTAATGTTTTTGAATGAAGTCTCTTTTGTTCTTTAAGGCTGCATTTATTTGATAAAAAATGTAGTAAAACAGGAATATTGTGAAATATTCTTATAATTTAAAATAACTGTTTTCAATGGAAGCCGTTTCCACCATGGGATAAAAAAATAAAAAAGGTAATTGTTGACTTTTTAATCTGACAATTTGGACTTTTTTCTTCACAATTCTGTCTTTTTTGAGAAAAATTTCAGAATTGCAAGAAATAAAGTTTTTGGCTTGCAATTTTGAGCTTGCATCTCACAATTCTGAGTTCATATCTCGCAACTGTGACTTTTTTCCTCTGAATTCTAACTTTATATCTCACAATTCTGGTTTTATTTACGCTAATAAAAAAAAAAGAAAAGAAAATAACTGCAACTTTTTTATCTCACAATTCTGACTTTTTTCTCACAATTGCGAGTTCATATCTCACTGCAAATTAACATCTCACAATTCTGCATGTGTCTTTACAGTCGATGAGTTTAATGGGTCTTTGCTGAAAAAAGTACTAATTTCATTAAAAAAATGTTACTGACAAGTGACAACAAACATCTCAAAGGTAGTATACATTTAGTGTATAGTGCATCATTTGAAACACAGTTAGGCACTTTCCCCCTCTGCTCTGTAAGTGTTGGGATGGTGGTTTCTCTTGGGGAATGAGAAGTGAAATGCTCTGAATCCCTTTATCTTCACTGTGATCATTACTAATTAATTCATTAAGGCTAGGACAATCATGCTGCGGGCCACTGGACTGGAATTATCTCATCCATTCTGTCTCTCGCTCTCCTCCAGCTAGATGCCCTCTGGGTGTGTGAATTCTCCTGGTATTACTAGTATTTATTATTAAATTCAATCTAAAACGTGATCAGATTTCATAATGCCATTAAAAAATGTTCCCCCTAAAAATGTTATGCGTTGGTCTACTGCATAGAGTGACTCTTCTACACAGCTGACTCAGTCCCTCCTGTTTGCAATTTACAGCCTCCTTCCATTCTTATTAATCGTTTTACTACTTGAAGGACTTTTATAGACTTGTACGGGAGTGCTGGCAAGCAATTAAGCAAATGCTGTCTTATGAGGATTGCTGGACTTGTTCATTTTCAGGCTCTCTCTACTCTGTACTTTGCTCATATATAAATTGAAAGAGAAACAGTGCACACAGATATATAATAATTTTTTAATGTCATATGTTTCAGTTTTGTTCACCCATAAATGGCATGTAAAAGTGTAAATAGCACAAGTCCTTCTGTTTTTCTATGTGTTTTATAACAAATAAAGTTTGGTAAAATAGTAGTATACTGTACTAACCTTGAGGCAAGAGGTGAACCCAAAGACAGAGGAGCCAGACCAAGTGATGTGCAGACTTCTTGTATCGTACACTCAGGTGCTTGCTGTGCTTGTAAAGCATCCTTCAAAGAAAAACAAAGGAACTCTTTTGTTCAAAAAAAGAAAAGAAAAAAGTGTTTTCATCAATACAATAACAGGGTGTAACTGAGAGAAGGTCATTACTTCTACAATGCTCTTTCAGTTTGTCATTCAACATGAAATTAAAATTGACCCTGTTTACATTCTGAATGCACATTTATGGCTTTATACCTGTCCGTGGAGTTTTTTATCAAAATAATAATAATTTACATAGTAACTTAAATCATTTCTTTTTCAGCTGACGTCACAAATCTTTTTTTCAACCCCTCCTCTCCAACTAACTTGTAATGCTTATGTAATACCCACTTTTCACAATTCAGTCAATTCCTGATTAATAAAATAAGATTACATGTATATGTTTGCCTAGGTTCTGCATATTCTATGTTGCTTTGTTCCATTTCTAGTACCAGTATGTTTGCTTTTTTAATGCCATTGTGTGAATAATTAATTCCACCAAACAAACAAACAAATACCCACGGTAAGCCGCATAATTTGACTCTATCTCTTGAATAGTATGGACAGAAAGACTTACAATAAAAAACAATGCCCATTGTGCTTTTGGTAACAATAAGGAAGTGTACATTTGTATATTTCTTTAAAGGCTAGCCGCGAACAGATATTGATCCTGGTCATTAGAGGTCATTAGAAGTCCATGGTGACTCTCTATAAAAGGGGATAAAAGCCCAACTTGATTTAAAGATGGAAAGGACAGGAAACGTTAAATGTCTACGGATGGTTTACAGTAATAAGACAGACTGAGATGGCTTTGGTACTGAGAGTGATTGAATGGCTATGTGGGGATGTTTGAATAAAACTCTGATGAAATGCTCCTGGTTTACTGTCTGGACAAAAGCAGACAGGCATTACTAACTGTGCGAGAGGCAGTAATTCTGTCTAATGTAAAGTGGCAGTCAACTTACTGCAGTCTCTTTCATCAAATCTGTCTGGCTGTTTATTCATTCAGCCACTCACACAATCTATCTTGCTCTCTTCCTCTACCTTTTCTTTCTCTTTCTATAATAAACTTAATTTCCAACAGGGTCTAATATATCTGGATATGCATTAGCACTTTGGTTTGTTGCTGCATATAGCCATGCTGCATACAGCCATTTATATGCATTTATTCTTAATACATGGCTTTTTTTGAGTGGCTGTCAATAGTAAAACACAATTTTTGCCCACATAACGCTGCAGTTATGGCACACACCAACTAAACAGACTGTTTTCTGATTTTGCTAAGCTATTGTGTAAATCTGTTTTGACAATTTGTTGAACATTTTGTCATTATATTGTACCGTATACAGAAATCAGCTCAAAAAGGCAGAGGATAAGAGGTTGTACCATCTGATCATTTAGCAAACACTTGCATTCTGTAATTGTGTTAACAGCATCACAACCTGAGCTCAATTATAACACATTTCTCAACATGAAAACAATAATCAGCTCTAGTGTTCACACTCCAATTAGAATCTCAGGATGTATAAAAGGCCCACAGGTGAGGTAATTTGCATTGGAACAATGAAACTGAACAACAAAGAGAAGTACAAGCTAAATAGTATAATATCTATCTATCTATCTATCTATCTACATTCTTCTGCTGTTGAATTATTTATACTGCAAATTTATCTAGTGTTTGAGAACTTAATTGATATCTATGGGCAAAATCTATGCATTAGGAGCTGTTGGGAAAACTTAATGGTTATCTGTTTTTGCCTCAGTTTTTTTTTTTTTTTTTTAATTTTGTGGCGAGGGATGTTGTAACATATCTTTAATTCCATTCATTGCTGTTCACAAGTATCAGGATTCAGAGGTGTTGTTATGCTGATTTATGATGACCAAAGGCACTAACTTGCAAACCCTTTTAACTTAGCAGGTGCCTCACAGTCATGGAAAGTCTGGAAATATCAGTCTGTTGTAAAATAGTGATTCCTAGGCCTGGAGAAGTCATGGAATTTTCTGTGTTGAATATATTTGTAAGGAAATTTGTCTGGTAATGCTTCAGTCTAAATATTTTTTTAGCTTTCTTAGGTACTCATATTCCTTAATGTCATGGAAATGTTTTATTACATTTTAGTGTACTTTATTTGCATAGACACTAAAATGAATTTGCTATAGGCCTACTCATATATCCCTTTGTTTAGACGAACAAAGGGAAGGTTTGTAGATTTATCAGTATCAATGCTGTAACTTGTTGTCAAGAATTCTAGGAAAAGGAATGCAAACAAGTATTTTGAAAACCACAGTACACTTCCTCCATCAAGTGTTATGTTCATGTTGAATTAGAGAGTGGTTACCTACAGGTTTAGTATATATCATTGTTTTATTTTGGAAATCTAGACGTAAAAACAAATCAGATTGAGAAGGCTGTTGGCCAAATCAGTCAAATTAATACAGTGTGTTATTGTGGTTTCTGGAATGCAAGCAGGTTGGACAACCTTTAAATGTGCTGTTAATCTCCAGCCATCTATTTCTTTCTTCACAATCAGTTGATAGAAAAACTGAAGAAAAAAAAAAATATATAATTTTTATATAGTTGTATTTTATGTATTTTTTTGTAATTTCCTGTCATTCTCTGCTGTACTGAGAGCCAAGACAAATATGCCATCAAATTCCATTCATAGCTAAAAACCAAATAGTCTGTATTTCCGTCACACCTGTCTCATACCAAGAGACCCCATACATTGATTTATCGGTATGTCTTTTCCAAAAAAACTATTTGTCTGTCTGTGCAAAACAAAACAGCACTGCTGTTTCACTGCAGAAAACTGTCAACATACTATACTTGAAAGTGTACAATAAGAAATATGAATAAGAACTAAAGAGTTGTCCAATGTCTCATCACCTAACCCAAAGTGACCCACCATCTCTGCACCATTGTGGTTGATAATGAGCATTAAGGTAAAAAAAAAAATATATATATAAATATATAAGGGAAACTGTATATCATAGGTCATGCAACTTTTCACAGTTTTCTCACCATTTCCAAATTTTGTATTTATGTTCTTGTATTCTCCCAATTAATACGAGCCTACAGAGGCTGCAAAGAACAACATATAAAAATAGCAAAATGTTGTTTAGATGTTGCTTATTTTAGATGGAACACGTCACATCGCTGAACCTGTCAATCAATCTATCACGACGTGATAGCTTTCTACTTTCGTCCTGACTTCACGACTTCGTTTTGTGCTTAAACTTTATAAGCAGCATTTCTGTGTTTTAAAATATCAACAAATACAGTCGTTTATCTTGTCTGGCTTGTGTAATACAGCTGTCTGGATTTGTTCGTGAAGTCTCACCTGGTGTCGTCGCGCGTGATGCGCCTGAAGTCATCCTAAATTCGCGGATCTTTCACCGCTCTTAACTCCATCCAAACTGCTCCACGTGAAATAAATCCTGGTGCTGGTCGACGTGTGCTTCAGTTTTCAACTGTCACGAATTAACAGGTAACTAAAAATAAGAAAGCAACGCAGTTTCAAAACATGAAAAAGTTGAAAAGACAGTTCTTGGGGTTGAAAAAATGTTGTGACACTCCCATTATTGTGAGAACTTCGTGTTTCCAATAAGAGGATGGCACGCCTTCCTCTATTCTACATTTGGTGACTTTTCAGTCAGCAAAACCAACGTTTTCCTTTGTCATATACAATTTAGTTATGATATTATCAATCTCTTCTGGAGTCTGATGACTGATATTTTTGCTGAAGTGTTTGCACTTTATATTATTAAGACTTAAAATATAATCCTAAGGGGTTGTTTTCTGAGTCCCCTGACAGTATTAATTATAAGGTATGAATGAAATAATGAGATAAAGTGATAAGTACTTGAAAAGCACTCTTACTGTCTTTTACCATGGTTACTTAATGAAAGTGATCTGGTGGCAACTGGTTCTTTCAGGCACAGCGGGGACCAGGATGTGGACTCAGACATTTCCTGGACCCTTGGCAGCCTGTCAGTGGAGGTAAAGGTGCCCATCTGTGCATGCCTTGTGTCGGCCCTTCAGGGTTCTTCTTGCTCTTTCTCAGGGGTCAGACACCCTGGCTGTTTTCAGGATTGCTTATTGAGAGCGGTGCTAACGTCACACAGACAGCTCAAATATTCCATGACTTAGCAGGTGCCTTTGCATAGTATGCCTTTCACCTGACTATGTGAAATGCGTCAGATGTAAAGACAGACAGGTATTTTTTTTTAAGCAGGAGAAAGTTTATGTTCTCCTGCTAGTTCATTAGTGTAAGTGATAGTTCATCCAAAAATAGAAACTTTGTCGTTGTTTTCTATGTTATGATATTCTTTCAGAGAAATCCAGAAAAGGAGATGTTATGCAGAATGTTCCTGCTGCTCTTTTCCATACAATGAAAGTAAATGTTGACTAGGAGCTGTACAGCTCTAAATTTGAAAAAAAAAAAAAAAATAATTGTCTTAGAAGTAGTCTGCGTGACTCTTGTAATCATCTGAAGCTATATGACAGCTTTATTTGAAGAAAATAACAATTTGTTGTTATGAAATTAGGTTATGAGATCCAATAAGTATGTTAACATGCAGTACATTTCTTCAGTTGAATGGATCCAATCCAATTGCAGATTCTGAAAGTTCAGTTTATTTTAAATGCACCCTAAACTTTGCAAATATATTCTTATTTGTTTATATAGTACATGTGAATTACATGTATGCACATCTTCAAAACTAGATAAAGCCACCGTGAGTATTGTCATTTTGCCTTGATGACATATCCAAAAAGGAAGCTGACATATATGTCAGAAGAGCTTTTAGCAATTATTAATAAATATTTAGTCTCCTCCACTGACCAGTTTGTAAGATGTAAATAAATAAATGCACATTTGTTAGACTTAAAACATATTTAATCACTTGCTGTGCATGTGTGCAAGGTATTTTTGAATTCAATTAGTCAGATTCATACATTTACATGCTTAATTTTTTCCTGATTTGATTATTTTAGGTCTACACCACCCCTTCCAATCCGATCTAAATTTCATTCAGACTGAGCTCCATCGGATCGATTGCTATGTTTACATGATGGCTTTTTGGTCTGATTCAGACATCAATACTAACAGATTATTTGGTTGTATGTAAATGAAGATAGTGAGACCAATGTGTTTTTGTATGGCTTTAGACAACTTGAAATATAGTGTGTGAGTTCTATGGTCCCCTTCCATAATGCTTTTGGTCATTTTTGAAGCTTGCCAATGGTCACCATTTAATTAAATTTTATTTAAAAGAGCAGTATGAACAGCATTTTTGTATTCCATGGAAGCAAGTATTACTGTTTTTTCAACAATATGAGGATGAATAAATGATGACACAGCTTTAATTTAGGATGAACTACTCCTTTAAATATTACATATTTATATGTGAATAGGCTGTGATATGGGTTGGTAGAAAAAGGAACTTGAAAATGTAGGAAACATGGTGTTTATGGCTTGGTGGGTTAAAGTGACAGAGAAAAATGATGTACGGAGGAGCACAGACCGGTTTAACATCTTTCTCCCCCTCAACTCTCCTGTTAGCCTCTCTGTAGCAGATCTCTCTCTCTCTCACACACACACACACACACACACACACAAACAAAGACACCTGTGAAAATGGCCCTCACACTTTCAGCAGATCATCTTTTCTATTATGCAGGGTGTGGATCCCTGGGGCCCCTTTATCTCTTTTTCCTTTTTTTTTGTCAAGTTGTGAAATAAGCTTAGTACTGTATGTTGTTGTGTATACGTTTAAACTGTCAAGTTTGTTTTTATTGATCTATTTTTTATTAATTTTTGTTTTTCATCGTTTTTTGAGTATTTTTTTACAGTCAATTAACACCAAATCTTTTAAACACATTTTAAAATAATCACTACAATAAGATTGACTAGTATTGTAAGAATCCAGAGTCTGAGATCACTAGTGAAAATGCACCTAATTTCATTTTATTTTAGTTTAATAGTATATTTATAATAT